TCTCACGCCTTCCAAAGGAGTTTCACAAAGTCCTTGCTTCTGCACGCAAACTGTCCCGTTGTCCCCATTGTAGCCTGGGTTGTGCAGCCTTAACCCTAGAAGACTGTACTATGGTTATCAAGCTTTCACAATGCCCTCTGCTGGCTCTGGTTTTGCTCTCCCTTCTTAAGGAGTACAAAGTACTCTCCATAATGAGGCTGAGCTCTTTAAGTGCTACAACTGCAATTAGAACATTAGAAAAACCCACATATATCTTTGGCCAATTACTTAACGATATCTCTTTAGCGACAGAATTGAAATAACTTAATAACCATCCAGAAAATGTTTTTTAAAAAGCTTTTAAACCCAGAGCTAAAGTTACTCAGCATTGAAAGTTAGACTTATTCCTGTATGTTAATCTTCTAAATGGTCCTGTCCTCTTTCAGAACTCCCATCTCAGTGACTCTCCCTCACTTTCATAGCCAACCCACAACCAAGTCTCATCAATTTTATTTCCTAAATCCCACGCAAATCCATCCACTTCTCTCCACATCCACTGCCACTACCCGTGTTCAAGACATCGTCCATCTCGTTTGGATTCCTGCCAGTCTCCTAACTGGGCTCTTACACCATGCCTGAACCCTGCAACCAGTTCTCCCCACTGCACTGTTGTCACCACACCCAGTGCCTCTCCACCTTAAAAGTGCCCCAAGATTCAAGACCTGCACCTTCACCAGGCCGAAAGACTCCAGCCTCTCCTTTCTGCCTAAACCACACTGGCTGTTCTTTCCCTTGTTTGAGGAAATGCCAGATCAGCGTCTCTTACTCTTAGGTTACTCTTCTGATTACCTCCCAAACTAAGCCAGACCCACCCATCCCGAATTTGTTTGCTGAGCTCAACATTAAACTCTGCTGTAGTCCAGTTAACCTATAGCGGTTATCATAATCATGACTTTGTGACTATCTTATTACTATCGCTCCCTCTCTCTAGACCGTAGGCTCTATGAAGCAGGGAACAAATCTGATTTATTCATTACTGCATGGCACAATAAATAAATGGCAGTTGATTTCCCAGATTCTGCTCTCCAGTCTGTACTCTCCTTAGACCGAAGCCTTTTATAACACGTACTTGGAACTGTATCTTCTCGGGAAGAAAACTTATTTTACTTTGTTCTTCAGTCTTATGCCACGGAGCCTACTAAATGACAATTAAGGAAAAAAGAAAACCCACAGTCACATCGCGACCTTCCGCACTAAGGGTTGTCCCAGGGCCGCAGGCAACAAGCAAGTTTGGCCAGCCCTTCTGCGCAGGCGCAAGGGCCCCTCGCCCTCTGGCTCTACCGGAGCTTGCTCAGGCACTACTCCGGTCACGTGCGGCAGCGTTGGCCACGCCCACCGCCAGAAGCCTACCCACGGCGCGCCTCGGCCGGAGAAGGGACGTAGGGACGAACTGCGTGCGTGCGTGCGTGCGTGAGCGCGTACATAGGCCGAAACGGCAGGGTGGGGCAGGACTTGGAGGAGACTGTAGGAATGGCGCCGGGGTTAGGTCTGGCGACACTGGGAAGCTCGGGTAGCGGCCTAAGCCCGAAGACGGCTATACAGCCCGGCCCAACCCCCGACCCCGTGGCAGGGCTTGCGAGGCCTCGTCGCCCTCCGCCCGGCAAGACGGGGTGGCCCTGACCTTCTAAGGACGCGGCCGAGCGCAGTGCCGCTTCCTCCGCAGGCAGTGTCCCCTAAGACCACGTCCTCCCGCCGGAGATCTCCTCACCGCTCACCTTTACTATCTACCTGTGCCGGAGTTGGCGATTGGTACCAGGTGTGGCAGGAGGAGCCAGTAAACGGACTCCGCGGCGAGACCTCGTCACTTTCCGTAGTGGGCGGGGCTTGGGCCCGCGGCTTTTAAAGGAGATGACTTGGGGACGAGCGCGTTTCCGCTGGTGGGATAAATTCCTCCGACAAAAAATGCTGAAGGCGTGGGGGGGTTTTCTGCGGGGAAGTTGCTCCTCACCCGGGTCCTGCCGCTGCGTAGGGGGAATGAACGTGGAGTTTCTGCAGTAATCAGGGCATCCCTGCCACCAGTACGTTACGTTAACACCTGTCTCGGTATGGCTACATCTCCCACCAGGGTTTATAGAGAGCTTTCGCAAGTGTATTTTTTATTTAATCAAATAGTCAATCTAATAAAATAGTTCGTAAACGTCCTTTATAATCGTTGGGAGTTAGAGAGCCCTGTCCCTGATTGACAGGTGAGCAGTAGCACGCGGTTCTAACAGGTCCTTGATGTGACGAAGGGGAGGCGGACCCGGAGCCAGAGTAGAGCCGGCTGTAAACCCCGGCGCCGGCGGCTGGGGCCTCC